CTAATTCAAAATGTGAAAGTGTGAATGTATCATTAAATCAGTTATAGTTTGTTTGATGGTACGTGCTACTCGGATAACGTAGTAATTCTAGAGCTAATACGTGCAACAAACCCCAAGCGCATTTATTAGATAAAAGGCTGACGCAGGCTTTGCTTGCTGATCCAATGATTCATGATAATTTGATGGATCGCACGACCCTCGTGCCGGCGACGCATCATTCAAATTTCTGCCCTATCAACTTTCGATGGTAGGATAGGGGCCTACCATGGTGGTGACGGATGACACAGAATTAGGGTTCGATTCTGAAGAGGGAGCCTAAGAAATAGCTACCACATCTAAGCAAAGGCAGTAGGCGCGCAAATTACCCAATCCTAACACGGGGAGGTAGTGACAATAAATAACAATACCGGACGCGTTAGTGTGTGGCGATTGGAATGAGTACAATCTAAATCCCTTAACAAGGATCCATTGCAGGGCAAGTCTGGTGCCAGCAGCCACGGTAATTCTAGCTCCAAGAGCATATATTTAATTTTTTGCAGCTGAAAAGCTCGTAGTTGGACCTTGGGCTGGGTCGGTTGGTCCGCCTCACTGCGAGAACTGACAATTGCTTTATCAACTGCCTTCTCCTTGGTCTTACCAGCTGCCTTCTTCTTGGCCTTACCTGCATTTTCTTTTTCACTAACAAATGCTTCAGAACTCTTTGCTTTCTCCCATTCCTCATGTAGCAAAACTTTGGAATCTCCTGAAGACTTTTGGTGAGACATTGCACCTCTATCTTAGCAATGTGAAATTATAGCAGAAAGTAAATTGATGTCATACCTTAAGCATTTTCTTTGTCATGGCCAAGTTCTTCAGAACTCTTTGCTTTCCCATGTCCTCTCTTTTTCTTTCTCATGGCCATGTTTAGGGCGAGTCTTGTTTTGTTCATGACAATACAACTCCACCATGAGTTTTTTCCTATACTAGAATGTGCTTTCCTACAGCTTTATACGCGGGTTAGTACTTGAATTCATTCATGTGTACTGATGCTTAAAAGAGACATCACTGACCTTATCAATGTCACATATATCTTCTTGTTCGAAGCGTTCTATGGACATCTGAACACGAAAACCACAATCAAAATTGTTTCTTTGCTGCTTGACCATCATCATATTACGGTTGAAAGCCGATATTAGCCACTCGGGAGGTACACATTTCTATAGGCCTTCAAGCTTCAAGAATTCATATGTAAAAAAAATAATGGCATGTGTTTTCAAGGAACTTTTTCAAGTTTAGTTTAGTACATTACCACAATATCCACTATCGTGCCAACATTTGACAACCCCACAAAGGAATCATATATTTTAACTTTGGACTTATCATTTTCTACCACCAAAACTCAATGCATGTCATCAATGTTTATGGGGACAAATATATAGAGAAGAAAAAAAATGCATGCACTAAGATAAGGTAAAAATACAGAACTGATTAATTCCATGTTAAGGCCTACAAACCAGTTTAATTTCATTTATTTTGTCCACACTGATTTCTGGACACCTCATTAGTGATCTTTTCTTCAAGATTCCCTAAAACAAAAATATATATATAAAGTGGAAATTTAGATATAAATCACTTTGAAGTGCTTTGATGTTGCTTACTAGACTTACAACAGTATTTTGAAATAGTATCATCCTATTGTGCCAACTTTTGCTCAACAAATAGCACGTCAAATCCAAAATCAAGCTATGCATCCCTTCTGGTTTGAAGCAATTGACAAAAATGCTTAACTCTACATAGCTATGTGTAAAATCAAGAATTTGATATGTAGGATCATCAGGAAGGATATGGACTTCTTGATAAAATACTCGTACATATCATCAACAGAATGATGAATGTGGCCATCAGTTAAAGAAGCATCACTATTAAAGTGGTACACACTTTCAATGGCATTCGATAAACTTCGTTGAGTTCATTTCCCTTTCTAATGTGCGTAGTTTCGTCGATTACAATTTTTATCTTGTGCAAATTGCAGATTGATGGTGTGGCATCACACCATCAATTAGAAAGGGAAATGAACTCCGAGAAGTGCATATCGGAATGCCATGAAAGTGTGCAATCCATTCATAATAGCATGCAATGCTTTGGTCGATGGCCACATTCATCATTCTCGTTAATGAATTTGGAGAGAATTATATCAAGAAGTCCATATCCTTTCATGATGATCCTGCATATCGCATTCTTGATTTTACACATAGCTATGTAGAGTTAACCATTTTTGTCAATTGCTTCAAACCAGAAGGGATAATGCATAACTTGATTTTGGATTTGAAGTGCTATTTATTGTGCAAAAGTTGGCATGATAGGTTGATAATGTTTTAAAATTCTATGGTAAGTCTAGTAAGCAGCATCATAGCACTTTAATGTGATTTATCTCTAAATTTCTACTTTATATATATATTTTTTGTTTTAGGGAAGCTTGAATAAAAGATCACTAATGAGGTGCCCAGAAATCAATGCGAACAAGATGAATGAAATTAAACTGGTTTGTAGGACTAAACTTGGAATTAGTCAGTTCTGTATTTTTACCTTATCTTAGTACATGCATTTTTTTCCTTCTCCAGATATTTGTCCCCATAAACATTAATGACATGCATTGGGTTTTGGCTGTGGTGGACAATGATAAGTCTGAAGTTCAGATATATAGTTCCTTCGTGGCGTTGTCAAATGTTAGCACAACAGTGGATATTTTGGTAATGTACTAAACTAAACCTGAAATGGTTCCTTGAAAACACATGCCACTATTTTTTTACATATGAATTTTTACAACTTGAAGAGCTAGAAAAATGTTTACCTCCTGAGTGACTAATATTGGCTTTCAACCGTAATATGATGACGGTCAAGCAGCAAAGCAACAATTTTGATCATGGTTTTCATGTTCTGATGTCCGTAGAACGCTTTGGTCAAGAAGATATATGTGACATTGATAAGGTCAGTGATGTTGCTTTTAAGCATCAATACACATGAATGAATTCAAGTACTTACCTGTGTATAAAGTTGCAGGAAAGCACATTCCGGTATAGGAAAAAACTCATGGTGGAGCTGTATTGTCATGAACAAAACAAGGCTCGTCCTAAACTTGGCCATGAGAAAGAAAAGAGAATTGGCCATGGGAAAGCAAAGAGTTATGAAGAACTTGGCCATGAGAAAGAAAATGATAAGGTATGACATCAATTTACTTTCTGATATAATTTTCCATTGCCAAGAGAGGTGCTCCTCACCAAAAGCCTTCAAAAGGTGCCCAGGTTTTGCTATAGGAGGAATGGGAGAAAGGAAAGAGTTCTAAAGCATTTGACGGTCACAAAGAAAATGCAGGTAAGGCCAAGAAGAAGGAATCTGGTAAGGCCAAGGAGAAGGCAGCTGATAAAGAAATTGTTAGTGACAACGAAAATGCTGATGGTAAGGCCAAGAAGAAGGCAGCTACTGGCCATGGGAAAGCAAAGAGTTCTGAAGAACTTGCCCGTGACAAAGAAAAAGCTGAAGGTATGACATCAATTTACTTTATGCTATAATTTCCCATTGCCAAGAGAGAGGTGCAATCCCTCACCAAAAGTCTTCAGAAGATGCCCAAGTTTTGCTACAGGAGGAACAGGAGAAAGCAAAGAGTTCTGAAACATTTGTCGGTGACAAAGAAAATGCAGGTAAGGCCAAGAAGAAGGCAACTGGTAAGTCCAAGGAGAAGGCAGCTGTTAAGTCCAAGGAGAAGGCAGCTGGTAAGGACACGGAGAAGGCAGCTAGTAAGTCTAAGGAGAAGGCAACTGGTTAGGCCAAGGAGAAGGTAGCTGATAAAGCAATTGTCAGTGACAACAAAAATGCTGATGGTAAGGCCAAGATGAAGGCAGCTGATAAAGAAATTGTCGGTGACAAAGAAAATGCTAATAAGGTGAATGCAAATCAGACCCCCCTGGCCGCATTCTACTTAAACACAAGATAAAGGACTACAAAGCGATAAACAATGCTGATAATCTAGGCGTGGAGTAGTTGTTCTGGTGTGTGATTACAATGATGGATGGTACTGGTCTGATACTTTGATGTATATGCTGGTGTGATGGTCCATTGGAGTATCTAATTTTCTCTTCTATCATTATTAATTAGAGGCAAATTGCAAAGTTCACTAATTTTCATGAGACAAGCTAGGAAATAAAAAGAAAAATCATAAAAGTTGTCACAGAAGCATGAAAATACTACTATCAATTGGATAGACTCTAATAATCATGGACAATAATAACTATTGGATCTATTTTGTTTTCTAAAACAACACCTCTGCTATTATAAAACATAATCTAAAGTAACCCTAGCCCTAAATTTATATCTAAATTTCTCACCTTACCATTATGAAAAACACCTAAAGCTTCAATGAACTTTCATCTAAATTACCCATATGTCACTATTAATTACAATCTAAACCATCCTAAATCTATATCTAAACTAGTAATCCCCGAATTTTCATCCAAATTACCTATGAAGTACTTTATATTTGCTTCTAGATTGCTCACTTATGCCATTGTTAATGCAAAAAGAATATCTCAAATCGCATGACAGTGTCACCATGCATGACATAGGGATGTGCGATGCACAGATAAAACTATGAATCGGGATGCAACTTATATAGTAACTGGTAATATTATAGTAACTGGTAATAAAATCTATCGCATCCGTATCAAGTAAAATGTACATGTAAGAGTACTGTGTTAGAATATGAACAAATGACGGCAAAGATAAACATCTTTGATTAGGTATGGGCCTCAAACATATATTATGCATGTCTTTAAAATTACTAGCCCATGTAGGACCACAAATTGATTAACTTGTTAAAATTTGTAATGACAGTAATTGTCTGAAATCAACACAGGTTCAAGCATCGGGGGTGCAATTGTGGTCATAGCCATCACCTACACTTGATCCATGAAAGGAAAAAATTGGAAAAAAAAATCATGCGGAAGTATTTCCAACAGCGTGGCGAGATGCTTCTATTACACGAGATAAGCTTAAAGCAAGGAACTGCTTTCACCATCTTCACAGAAGCAGAGCTCATTGATGCAACAGACAAATTTGACAACAGGAACATCCTTGGCCGTGGTGGCCATGGCACTGTCTATAAGGGGATGCTCAAGGAAGGCAGTCTAATCGCAGTCAAACGGTGTGTATCAATGACCAGTGAGCAGCAAAAGAAGGAGTTCGGCAAAGAGATGTCAATCCTTTCCCAGATCAATCACAAGAACGTTGTTAAGCTACTGGGCTGCTGCCTCGAGGTAGAGGTTCCGATGCTAGTCTATGAGTTCATCCCCAACGGCACACTATTTCAGTTCATCCATGGTAGTAATGGCTGCCACAACATCCCCTTCTCAACTCGCTTACACATTGCCCTCGAGTCTGCTGTAGCCTTAGCTTACCTACATTCATGGGCTTCACCTCCAATCCTTCATGGAGATGTCAAATCATCCAATATACTCCTTGACGAGAACTATGCAGCTAAGGTATCAGACTTTGGGGCCTCTATACTGGCACCGACTGATGAGTCTCAGTTTATCACACTTGTGCAAGGGACTTGCGGTTACTTAGACCCTGAGTATATGTAGACGTGCCAGCTGACGGATAAGAGTGATGTCTACAGTTTCGGGGTCGTTCTCCTGGAGCTTCTCACTGGCAAGAAGGCACTCAACCTTGAAGGGCCTGAAAACGAGATGAGCCTTTCACTGCGCTTCTTATGTGCTATGAAGGAAGGCAGACTCATGGACATCATTGACGACTGCATCAAGAATGAGAACGACATGGGGTTGCTTGAGGAGGTTGCGGAGCTTGCGAGTCGGTGCCTAGAGATGGTTGGCGAGAGGCGGCCGGCAATGAGAGATGTGGCGAGAAGTTGGGACAGAGCTCAAGAAGGTCATGCAAGCACCCATGGGTGCCTGCGCAACATCTTCTGAAGAGATGGAGCACCTGCCGAGGAGTCGTCGATGGTCAGTTTGGAGATGATAGGCACAGGAAATTTCAGCATGGAGAAGAGGATTGTGCAAGGGCTGCTGGAGTCTGGACGTTAGAGTTTTCAGCTGTCACACCTTCATACCACAATACCACATATTCATAGTGATGGTCTTGTGTGTGTACATATACGTCTGTTGGTTTCAGGGATATATACATACTCCATAATTACACTTCTTTGGGAGAACTTAGTTATCTAATTTGCCAACGAGCCTCTAGTCCATCTGGTTAGAAAACCTCAGCGGCACTACATAGGTCCTGGGTTCGACTTCCCGTGGGAGCGAATTTCAAGCTATGGTTAAAAAAAATTCCTCGTCTGTCCCATGACCAAAACACAGGTCAAAAGGTCTGCCCGGTTCTCACAGGGCAACGGTGCCCCTGTGTCACGGTGGGGCAGGGGTGGCCTGTGGAGAAGTTTTTTCTTAGTTATCTAATTTACTTGAGTAAACGTTATTTACGTTTGCGGTGAAAGTTCTATTGTGACTGGAGAAAATTTCTCTTTTGCCACCTCTTTCTATCACTCGTCATTTTCAGTCTCCCTTACCTGGAACGGTGAAATCTGAATGCTGGACATCACGAGAGAAAATATTTGTATGGTCGACTCTTTTTCTGCAGGACCAATGGATGTGGAGCTGTAGACTAAAGGTGCTGGTGGGCCACTGGTTGTGTTGTGCTTGCTATGCTGGGCTGGTACCTATTTTTCCAGCTCCAACCTCTCCAAGAAACAAGCAGTACTTGTCTGGCCCATGAGCCCGTCATGACATCTGACTCCCAGTTTCTGGTTCATCACCGTTTTATGCATACTGAATTTCCGTCTGGTTTACAAATTTAAGCAAGTCCTAACAGACACAAGTGTTTCAACACGAAATTCTTGTTGACTTGGACACATGGTGCAAAATTCCTTCTCTGCCTTCATATGGCCCCGTTCGGCTTGCTGAATCTTGGCTGAAATTGGCTGAAAAACACTGTTCTTGCTGAAATGTTGTGAGAGAAAAACATTGTTCCGGCTAAAAAAAGAAGCCGAACAAGCCGGATATGGGATAAGCCGAACGGGGCCTACTCCGACATGGCGGCATGGATTTGGCCAAAAGCTGAGAAAAAAATGCCTCTTATCAAATTTGATGACAAATTCATGATCAAAGTGGATGTGTTTTCCCAATAGGAAAAACCATCGGTGGATCATAGAAAATCTCCTCACCTCTATGGCACAAGTTTTCTCAAGTTCACTGATATGATTTGATTAGTTTACTAGTAGTTCATGAACCCAACTACCTATTAGTCTCTTTTCTACATTCCAAAATATATTATAGATTTTAATAAGTTGTCCTAGGTAAAACTATTCTAAATTTAGCAAAATTTATATAAGTAAATAATACTATTTGGGCCTTACTAAACACCGCGTGCGTAGACGAAGAAAAATCCGCCCGCACGCCTTCTTCTCCCCGCCCCCGTCTTACTATTCTTCTTCTTCCCCCGCCTTCTTCTCCCTTGCCGGCGCCTCTTCCCCTACTGATGCCGGCCGCGCGAGTGCCCGACCTCCAGATCTAGCACGAGTGCCCCCCGCCTCTACCATCTCCCAGCTCCCACCGCCCCGCCGCCCACCACCCACGGCGCCCTTCTTTTCCCCTCCCCCCTCCCGCATGCCATCGCGCGCCCCCCACCCCCAACCTAGCCCGTCCGCCAGGGCCTCTAAACCGCCTTGCTGCCGTCCCCACCGCCTGGCCTGCCTACCTTCCCCGAGCCCCTTCTCTTCTAAGCCTACCAGAGCTGGGGAAGGAGTAGTGTGGGCCGCTGGAACCCTAGCCATAGTCGGAGCTAGGGAAGAAGACGGTGGGCGCGGGCGAGGGAGTGCGAATCGGATGGCCGGGGAGAGCAGCAGCGCGAAATCGACGGTGAGTGTGGGTATGCGCGCCGAGCTCCCAAATATTGCGCTTTTGTAAGTATAAGCATTTCCGATAATATTTACATGTTTTTTTATAATTTACCCCTTTTATAGATGTTACTATTCTTCTCTAAAATTCTATTAAATTTAGAATAGTTTAACTTAATTACTTTAAGTAATTTAAAGTCTCTTATATTTCAGGACCGTAGCCCAATTTGCATTTTTTTACACGGACTAGCAACCGGTTTGATCCTTGCCGGCGCCGTTGGTGCTGTGCAGCGTAGGCTCCCACTCGCCCGCCCACCGTTCCGCTCCCACCGCTCACTCCACGCCGGAGACGCGGAATCGAATCAACCCGACGAGCCGGACGGTAAATCCGGCCGCCTCATCCCACACATTCCCACCGCTGGTCGTTTGGCTGGCTTGCTGGCCGCCCCCCATTCCCTTGCCCGCGCCGCGCAGACGCTGACGCGAGGGAGGGATAAAGCGCGGCAAGGGGAGAGGGCCAGCGAGCCAGCCGCAGGCAGCCAGTGCGGCAGGCCGCGCCGCAGCCGCAGCAAAAGGACGCACCGAAAAGCCCCTTTCCCCTCGGCCGCATCCCAACATCATGACGATGGCGACGCCGACCCGTCGCTGCGGCACTAGTGCCTGCGCCTGCGCCAGTGCCAGTGCTCGCGCAGTCGCCACTGAGTCCGAGACCCGGCCAGCGGCCACTCCACTCCCGCCCGCCCCGCCCCACGCTCGCTTCTCCGACTTGTACACCCCCACCGCGCGCGCGCCACCTTTCGCTTTCGCTTTCCCTTTTGCGCCCCGCATCGCACTTATCTGCTTGCTTGGGCGATTTGGACTGGACGGGGTCGAGAGGGCGAGAAAAGCGAAGCAGGCGGGGAGAGAAGAATCACGACACCGGGCCGTGCCGATGGGTGTGTAGGAGTAGGAGCTGTAGCTCGTTGACCTCTCCGCCTGGGCAGCAAGGAGGAGATGACTTCCCCGAAGCGGGCAGCGGGGCGGGAAGGGTGCGGGTGCTGGGCCGCCGTCGCGCGGGGCCTCCGCGGGGCGTGCTTCCGGCCGGCGGCGCCGGCGGACGGTGATGGCGGCGGCTCCGCCAAGGGCAGCCACGTTCACGACGCAGGTGGTGGATTCTTGTCATATTCTCCTCTCTTTTTTTTCCCTACATATAAGTCTCTTTTTAGTCGGTTGGTTGGTGGATGATGATCGTTTGTTTGGTTTGGGAAAGATTTGTTCCTGCCTGCTTGTTCGTTAGTGGCAAAGAGTTGGCTTGGCTATTAGTGTGGTGTTGTGATATATGATTGATGATTTGATACGCTGATCATATATGGCAATAGGAAGCTCTTCTTTTCCATGTTCTTCTGTCCCCAGCATTCTTTGATTGTATTCATTGGAGTTTATCATGGATTTGATCGTAGCTAAAGAGGAATGATTAGATTGGCATGCAATGGTTAGAAAGTAAATTAAGGGTCAAACTTCAGCCGTTGAACTGAAACTCTCATATGGATATGAGTTGGCTATTGGTCGATCAACTTTTCAACAAGCCATTCTTGGTGGTTGGCTGATTAGAGCGGACTAATACAGCATTAGGTGATGCATTCAACGTTGTCTGTTTCTCCTATGCTAGGTGTGAATTCCATAAACAACTTGCACTATATTTATGAGCTTGTGCCAAACTATTTGAATGTTATATGCTCATCAGTCAGAGGTAAAAGGCGTATCTTAATCTGATTTGTATGAAAATCCCCTTCCGGTCTGTCAATAGTCTGTGCTCCTTATCTTTCAATCCAAATAGTTTTATTTAATCCATTGTGGCACATTTCAGTTGCTAAGTGAGATTTCTAATCATAGGGAAACAATTGAAGCTGACGTGGTAAAAGCTTTGAGAAAGTCTATGATTCATTGGTTCCAGGAGCCAATTACATCTGACTGTGTTGCTTGCTGCTGTTATGTTATCATATTGCCTGAAAGTGACACCTCCACAAATGATTAACCTGGATAACATAACAAAGCAGGATCATGGTACTTCAAGTCAACTGGATAGGTTTGATCCTGTATTAAAAGCTGGGGATGACTATGCTAAGTACATAATACTTTGGGTCAATGCCTATAAACTTTGTCTAACCATTTTGGATATGTGGGAGCCTAAGAGCGAATAGTTTTGACTTTGGCAAATATATTCTATCTTATCTTAGTAATTGCTGTAGGTAAAAATATCATTTTCTGTGTGATGTGCTCAAGGAACTTTGTTTTCTCTGTAGTAGCAGAGACAAGATATCTGAATGCTAACAATCGGGAGCTTGGTGATCATTTTCGGACAAAACATGATGGTGAAAATGGTGTTGATGCATCAATTGAAAAGAGAACACCCAAGCTACTTCAGTTTACCTTTCAAGAGTTGAAATCTGCCACCCTTAACTTCAGGCCAGACAGTATTCTTGGGGAGGGTGGGTTCGGTTATGTCTTCAAGGGGTGGATTGAGCCAAACAGCACTGCTCCTGCAAAACCTGGCACAGGGGTTACTGTGGCAGTCAAAAGTTTGAAGCCAGATGCGCTTCAAGGTCATAGAGAATGGGTGGTAAGTATTGTATGGCCTTTTTCTTTTTGAATGGAGTATTGTAGCTATGGTTTTAAAATAATCACATTTTCAGGCAGAAGTTGACTTTCTGGGACAGTTGCATCATAAACACCTTGTTAAGCTGATTGGATATTGTATTGAGGATGATCAAAGGTTACTTGTATATGAATTCATGGCACGGGGAAGTCTTGAAAATCATCTTTTCAGAAGTAAGCAATCACCTAACAGAGTTAATGCTTTAAGTTGAGTAGATTTAGTGCTTTGACTAATTTGTTTCCCCACTTAGCCTAACAAGTTGTTTGCTTCACTTATAAGTCTTTTTTGCATTTTTTCTGAGCAATCTTGGAATTTTTTTTGTCGTCTATCACTCTGTGACATCAGAGATAATTACATTCTAACTTAATTTGATTATGGTAGACTGGTGCAAGCGGTAGAGTCTTACCGCCTGTGACCGGAAGGTCCCGGGTTCGAGTCGCGGTCTCCTCGCATTGCACAGGCGAGGGTAAGGCTTGCCACTGACACCCTTCCCCAGACCCCGCACAGAGCGGGAGCTCTCTGCACTGGGTACGCCCTAATGTAGACCTGAGCATTTTAGCCTGGCCTTATTATATATTAAGTTTGACCTGTGCCAGTTACACCTATTCATATCTTCTTAGTCAATAGACAAATGATTTCCACACAAAAAAAGTGGTTCTACAATAGTACTGTAGTGAGCAGGGATGATGCAATGGTGGTGTCCATTCTATTCCTAACTTCTATATTAGTATTAGGTCATGCCCACATAACCATTATTGTTGGGAAAAAAATTATTACCAGCTTTTTCACGAAGTTGATTTTACTGTATGTGCCTAATCTTGTCGACTTTCCTTGTCAATCATAATCTTTCTGTCTTATCGTTCTTATGATCCTGTCATCTTACTTTGTTTAATCTTGAAGGGGCTCTTCCCCTACCTTGGTCCAACAGAATGAAGATTGCTCTAGGTGCCGCGAAAGGACTAGCCTTCCTCCATGGAGGTCCCAAACCTGTTATTTACAGGGATTTTAAGACATCGAATGTTCTTCTTGATGCGGTACTTTATCTGTTGAATCTGTTTCATATCGTGCTTAGACAATGCATGCTACCTTGTTAATTGTTCTGATTTTACTTCTGTAGGAGTACAACGCAAAACTATCTGATTTTGGTTTAGCAAAAGCTGGTCCTCAGGGTGATAAAACTCATGTATCTACTCGGGTTGTTGGCACCTATGGTTATGCTGCACCAGAGTATGTAATGACAGGTATCAGGGATAAACTTTTGACTTCAATAGTTACCTTTAGCAGAATTTCTGTAGCTTGGCGTTATCTGCTGCATGTTTGTACTTTACAATGTTTCAATGAGCTTGTATCTGTTCTCGTGTTCGCTTCATACTGGATTCTAAATTGGCTTAACATTTTTCGCCGAAGACGTAAAACTGGGGTGTCATTCTTCCTTGAGTTTTCCACCAACTATAGTTCAAACTTCTTTCGAGTGAAACTGTGTTTTGCTTTTTATTGATGCAGGAAGGCTGTAGACATAAATAACGAATCTTCTTGGTAATAGAACTAATGTTACATATGATTGCTTCTATACTATAATTTCGCTTTCATACTAGAGTTCTGTTGTTTCAATTTGTTTGACTAACCATAATCTCAGGAATTGCACATACTTCTATGCTAATGCATGTGAGGGTAGCTTCTATATGCATCCCGTGGTATTCTTTGCACAGGATTTGTATGCCTTACCTGATGAAAGCTGAAAAATAACAAAATGTGTTAGTTTATGGTTCTTTCTTTAAGCAGTTGATATGTCAAGTTTTGTTACTCATATCATGCGTACTGTTTTCAGGGCACTTGACATCTAAGAGTGATGTCTATAGCTTCGGAGTTGTGCTACTCGAGATGTTGACTGGGAGAAGATCAATGGACAAGAAGCGACCTACAGGGGAGCAGAACCTGGTTGCATGGGCGAGGCCTTACCTAAATGATCGCCGAAGGCTCTATCAGCTCGTAGATCCTCGCTTGGGGCTGAACTACTCTGTCAAAGGGGTGCAAAAGGTTGCTCAGATCTGCCACTATTGCCTTACCCGTGATAGTAAGTCCCGTCCATCGATGGATGAAGTTGTCAAGCAACTCACACCATTACAAGATCTAAATGACATGGCATCTGCATCGCCAAGGCCTCGCTCAACTCAGCGCGGTGAGTAGCACATGAACAAACTGCTCTTTACCAGTTTATCAGAGTGCAATTCTAGAAGCATCATCCAAGATGACTGACGAAGCTCACTGATTCTAAAAAAAATTGAAGTTCACTGCAATTTACTTTGTATGACAGGAAAGGTGCATAGATGACGGCCGGTTCTGCTGTAAGAAGAGCCGTGTGCTTCTGGTTGCTGGATGCTTGTTTGGTTTAATTGCATAGCAAAATTAGCTTTGATGTTGACTGCCGATACCTGGAGATGTGACACCGCCAGATGTCTCGCTCAGGTCAATCACACTCTGTTTGGCTGGTTGGCAAAGCGATATAAGGATGTATCTGGTTGCAACATGTAATAATTACTAGTATAGGGCGTGCGCCATCGCCCGCGTAGGCGGGCACATGAAAGATTTCAAATATGGAGAATATATAGACTGCAATTTAAGTAATAAGGTAGATAGATATACACGGAGGATGTGTATAGGTTTATATTACATCAGCTGTGGGGTGAAACAACTCACAAAGAAGGTATTCAATCTAGATTTAGAATTATGTTTGGTAGTAAATATGTGCAAAGAAGGTGCCTCCGCATAGTTTGAAATCCAGAATCATGCTCAGAGCTGAGTCTTACAAAGGAAGAAACTCATGCATGTAGCGATGTAGCATGGAACAAATCTCAGTGTTATCTAAGTACAAAGTACCGATATAGATGCAATAATAGAGCTGCACCTGAGTGGCTGAGTAAGAACACAGGTGGCTAAAAACAGGGACTATATAGCATAGTCTGACACCTGCATAAAAACAAAGACTTCCTATTAGATAGTGTTGGACCTATATTGTACCAGAAGAAAACCACAAATGGTCAAAACTGAAGTGGCTATGAGCAGTGTCCATCAGTGTCCATGCAACAGTTCGCTGGTTGGTTTCTGGGCTGATAAATTCGGCTGGTGCTGGTTCGTTGTGAGAGGAAAAACATCATTGTCAGGCGGACTACTGACAAGAATCGCCCAGCGGCTGCGCGGACTACGACAACCGCCCGTACGCGGCCTGCCCTGACACGCCCATGGCCCATTCGCATGCAATGAGGCGCGGAGGCGAGGCGCGAGCAGGCATGGGCGCAGGGCGAGTGGCCCAACAGGCCGGCGCGCATGACAGTTTTGCAAAGACATCCCTACGCTTCCATTTATTTTGTACGCCACTGTTCTAGTGAGTCACAGTCATTACGCCTAGAACCCTAGAAAGATTATCTTCTTACCCCGCAGTCCCTCTCGTCTTCTTCCCAAGCAGAGCATCAGCAGAGGACGGCGGCTCCGGCCGATTCCCGTCGGAGGGACAGCGACCAGGCGACACATGAGTAGCAGAGGGCCTGGTCGTGCACGCGGTTGACGATGACATGGCCCGAGGCGGCCCACGGCACGACGGCCACGCACGCGACGCGGGGAGGCCACGGGGCGACGGCGGCAGAGGTGAAACGGCTCCGCGGCGGGGCGTTTCGCCGGCTCCAGGCAACAGGCGGGCCGGCACCGACGACAGCGAGCAACGACCGGAAGGCGCTGCAATCCAGCGCGGCAACGTGGCTCGGGCGCACGGGAGGCAATGCGCCGGCCGAAAGGGGCGGCTCGCCGGCGGGGCACGGCGCATGCTGCGGAGCGTGGAAGGGCGATGGTTCAGCGTGACCGTGGGGCACGCACGTGCACTGCGAAGGGAGGCGGCGTGGTGCTACGGCCGTCACGACCGCAGACGCAAGCGGTCGCGGAGCTCAGCGCGACGGCGGGCGTGCGTGCGCGGGGAGAAGTACGCGGCCGGGCGGTGGCGCTTGCGAGAGGGGAGGAAACCAGCACTGCGCGTGAGAGAGGAAAGCGAGGAGCCGCGCACGGGCAACGGGGAAAGGAGGGGCGGCGCTGAGAGCTTGTGCGAGATGGGGGAGGGGGAAAGCCGACGACGGCGGGCAGGAGTTCGGCAGCAAAAATAGAACAAAGAAGGGGACAACAACACGAGGAGGGAGTGAGAGGCCAGTCTGGCTCAGCTTGGCAGATGCAGATGATACAAGTAAAGGCAGACAGGGACAACATCGAGGCAGGCAGCAGAGGCAGCACAACAAGGCTCGACGAGACAACGGAGGCAGTGGCTGCTCGGCGGTGCACTGGAGAGAGATGACACGCCAAGCATAGACAGACAAGACCGAGGCTGCAGAAATAGAAAAAGAACGGGAGAAGACAACGGGAGTGACCGGCCAACTTTATTAACGCTGGGACAGCGCGGCGTGTTTCGGCAGCGCTGCAGAGCGACGGGATGATGCGAGTCCACAAAACTAAGTCACACACGATTTCCTTCTCACGGCAAGTACGTTTTAAATCAAAAATCCGAGAAACTCGTTTTGAAAATTTTACTTAGGTCTAAATCGTGGTGCTAAGCAAGCTCGTAATACCAGAGGTGTTACAATCACACGGTGAATATAGGGTTAAATATATAATGATCATTTAAGTTCTGACGGGGGTACAGCGGATAATGGCTGGTGTACACCCATGTTAGTAGTCCTAATGGTGTCTGATGTTTGGCTGAGGGTGAGTAGATGGTGTGCAGTTGTTCGCATTACTTTTAGGGTAAAGGTGCAGGTGTTAATTGTGATATACATTTGCTGTGTTTCCATAATCCTTAGGGTTTCATTTTTACATTTTAACAATCTTGCTCCACCCTATACCCAGGAATTCAAGTCCAGCCGGGATAGCGTTGAGTTGAGGTGCACGGCCTCTGAAAGACAAACTGGATTCAGTCGTGCATACATAATCGGCAGTACTCTGAACCCAGTGCTAAACTAACAACCCAAAGCCTAACAGAATCTGCAGCTGATCTCTCGAGTAATCTGAAAGTAACGGGAGTAAACAAGGAACTGATCCTACAGCTGTCATGCATCATCAGCCTTTGAAAGTCTGAATCCTGTGACTCCTGCGGTCCCTTGCGTAGCATTTCGTCGCTCGTCTAACATTGCTGAAATTCGGCTGGGCAGCATATCATATCCATGCAGCATTTAGCCAGGATAATGCAAGGCAACACATCACTGCACCCTCACGAGGACGCGCCACGCATCGGTCCCTGTCGTCGTCCGCACATGGAAACAGAAACGATGCCCACTGCTCAAAGTGCTCATGCTCACCCCCGAGACCGACTGTGGACAGACGATCGATAAGGGTACGCGCGTGACCCCGCGACGAGAGACGACCTCGCGTCGCGCAGCCCGGCGAAGCCCAGCGACGGAAGGCTCCAAACCTGCGGCAGGGCGGCAGGGTCACGGGCGCGCCCGCCGTTCCCGAAGAGGACAACCACGTCAGTCTCCACACGATACCCCCTGCATCCTGCCTGGCCTGGCCTGGCCTGCGAAGTCTCGAGCCCATCCGTCCCCGCGCTATCGCCTCTCGCCATGCATGTTCCGTCCGAGCAAAGCACGGAAGCACGGCCGGCGCCCGCCCCGGCGGAGCAGGGATAGCTACGACTGGAAGCGGACGCTTCTGCGTCACCGCCGGCCCGTGAGCCCCCGGCCGCTGGCGGCTTGCGCGCGCGTCCTCGCCAGGTGCCGCGCGTCCCGTGCATGCTGCGCGGCCAACACGTGGCACCCATCGGCCCGTCGCACATGCAGTTTACTTGGCAAGCAGAAACACATGGCAAATTGGCAATGAAGGGATTGAGAGGACACGACCATGAATCCATGATTAGTGTTGATAAGTCGTGCATTCCGGTTGGAACCTGTGAGATTTGCCATCGCGTGCACCAGACTACAGTGAGATCTCGTCACAAACCTCGGCGATGTTTAGATCCACTGTCTAAATTTAATCCGGGTCACCTCGGATATTTGGATTTTAATTAAAAGGGCTAAATATATGGGCTAATTGTAAAACTAACTACGTGACTAATTCACGAGACGAATATATTAAACCTAATTAATCTATGGTTAGCATATATTTACGGTAACATCACATCCGCTACACAAGAACTAATTAGACTTAATAAAGTTGTCTCGTGAATTAGCCTTCATTTATGTAATTAGTTTTGTAGTTAGTATATATTCAATACTCTTAATTATTATCTAAATATTGGACGTGAGTTGTGACAGGGACTAAAGTTACGCTCCTCTATAAAAGCAGACGTGTGCACAGCCCGTCACGGCCATCGTCGCTGTGTTGAGCCGGCGCAATGGCCACCTCCACCTCCGTTCCCGTTCTCCTGCTCCTCGCCGCCGCCGCCGCCGGCCTCCTGCTCCCCAGCTCGCTGGCCTGGACGAGCAACTGTCCCCCGACCGCGCCCGGCAGTGGTGGGCACGGCCACCCGTCGTACCCAGCGCCCGGCAGTGGCTCGCCGACGTGGCCTTCCCCAGGCTCCGGCTCCAGCGGCGGCCACAGCCGCCCACCCCACCATGGCAAGCCGCCCAAGCACCACCACGGCCCCCCGTTCAACTGCACGCCGTGCAACCCGCCGTACGTGCCTCCGACGCCTCGGGCGTCACCGCCCTACGTGCCACCGTACGTGCCTCCGACGCCTCGGCCGTCGCCGCCGTACGTGCCACCGTACGTCCCGCCGACGCCTCGCCCGTCGCCGCCCTATGTGCCACCGTACGTCCCGCCGACGCCACGGCCGAGTCCTCCCTACGTCCCGCCGTACGTTCCACCGACGCCGCCCTACGTCCCGCCGTACGTGCCTCCGACGCCTCGGCCGTCGCCGCCGTACGTTCCACCGACGCCGCCCTACGTGCCACCGTACGTTCCGCCGACGCCACGGCCGAGTCCTCCCTACGTGCCACCGTACGTTCCACCGACGCCGCCCTGCGTCCCGCCGTACGTGCCTCCGACGCCTCGGCCGTCGCCGCCGTACGTTCCACCGACGCCGCCCTACGTGCCACCGTACGTCCCGCCGACGCCTCGCCCGTCGCCGCCCTATGTGCCACCGTACGTCCCGCCGACGCCACGGCCGAGTCCTCCCTACGTCCCGCCGTACGTTCCACCGACGCCGCCCTACGTGCCACCGTACGTCCCGCCGACGCCACGGCCGAGTCCTCCCTACGTCCCGCCGTACGTTCCACCGACGCCGCCCTACGTCCCGCCGTACGTGCCTCCGACGCCGCCGGCGGTGCGGACGTGCCCGATCGACACCCTGAAGCTGAACGCGTGCGTGGACGTGCTGAGCGGGCTGATCCACCTGGTGATCGGGCAGGAGGCCAGGTCCAAGTGCTGCCCGCTGGTGCAGGGGGTGGCGGACTTGGACGCGGCGCTGTGCCTCTGCACCACCATCCGCGCGCGCGTGCTCAACATCAACATCTACCTCCCCATCGCGCTCAACCTGCTCATCACCTGCGGCAAGCACCCGCCGTCGGGCTTCCAGTGCCCGCCGCTCTACGACTGAGCTGGCGAGGGAGATCACCGGCTACCGGCAATCGATGTATACGCGCCATGCATGGCATCGTGTGTGCAAGCTAGCTACTAGCAACATGTCTCTACAATTTGTGTCGTAATTTCTTCTGTGCTCTCTCGGGTATGCATGTGTGCTTGGCGTCAGGACTCGGGTGTCAGGATCGAAATCTTTTCTAAGTGTGTGGCTTGCATAATCAGTCGATGTACCATGTTGTTCTTGTCTTCTGGTGACGGCACATGCACAGCGGCAGATGGTATTTCGTTCAGCTGGTTCGTTTTCAGAAATATAGCAGTATAAGCTAATGTGGCAGGAACACCTTGTTTGGTTCATTTCCGCAGCTATCGTGATGCTTGACGGTTCTATTACCACCTTGTGGTTTCCACTAGAGTTGCGAGTTTGAGGCAAAACGTATGCATGATTGGCACACAAAAGGTAGCTACGATTATTGGACATTTAACCATCACAATAGGCATAAAAAAATATAGCGTCAATGTTATGTTGAGATAACACCTATGGTTAATACCGGTAATAGTTTAAGGACACGGCTAAAAGACTCCTTCCTTGCGCCGCCCTTTCCCCTTCTTCCTCCTCCTCTGGTCGCCACCCCCGACGGCCTCCTTCTCCCCGGCCCCTCCCGCTACCGCAATGACCTCCTTCTCCCCTAGTGAAAGGTCCTGATGGTAGAGGGGGGTGAATAGCCTATTAAAAATTCTACAACAACACTCAATAAACCGGTTAGACAATTATGAGGCGAAGCAAGTGTTGTGCTAGCCAACTAAAAATGCAAGCCACCTACCAAAATTCTAGTTTATATAGTCATAATTTACACAATGGCTATGCCACTACACTAAGTTAGAGTGCTCTCAATGGCTAACTAAAGAACCACACTAACCAAACTAAAAAGCTCTCACAACTAGCTACACTAAAAAGCTTGATAACTAGTTTGCGGTAATGTAAAGAGAGAGAGCAAGATGGTTATACCGTCGAGTCGAGGAATAAACCAATCAATCACAAGAATCAATATCAATGAAGACCAATCACATCGCAATCAAATGATGACGCAATGATTTTTTACGGAGGTCCACTTGCATGTCGGCAAACTAGTCCTCGTTGTGGCGATTCACTCACTTAGAGGTTCACGCGCTAATTGACATCACACACCAAACCCTTAATAGGGTGCCGCACAACCAACACAAGATGAGGATCACACAAGCCACGAGCAACTCACTAGAGTACCTTTTGGCTCTCCGCCGTAGAAAGGTCAAGAACCCCTCACAATCACCACGATCGAAGCCGGAGACAATCACCAACCTCCGCTCGACGATCCGCGTTCACTGGTAGAGAACAGAGCTTTACTCCCGGTGGGGAACCCCCTCTAGTCCCGGTTCCCCACCCGGGAGTAAGCATCCGGGACTAAAGGACCTTTAGTCCCAGTGGGTAACACCAACCGGGACTAAAGGTCCTCCCAGCTTTAAAAAAACTAATGTCTCCCACCGCTGCGTCCCGTGAGATTCGAACCCAAGACCCCATGCATTGCCTCGCGCGTAGCTTACCACCCCACCTACACAACACATCTAACAATGGATGGGATGCTTCCTTTTGAACTAACCCATCGAGAGACCTTTAGTCCGAGTTGGTGTCACCAACCGGGAGTAAAAGGTCTACTTTTAGTCCCGGTTGGTGTTACCAACCGGGACTAAAGGTTGAGGACTTTTAGTCCCGGTTGGTGGCTCCAACCGGGAGTAAAGGTCCACCTTTAGCCCCGGTTGGTGTCTCCAACCGGGACTAAAGGTCCTCTGCCACTGTGCCGAGCGCAGTAGCCGTTGGGCAGGGACCTTTAGTCCCGGTTGGAGACACCAACCGGGACTAAAGGTCTCTTTAGTCCCGGGCGCAAAAAATGCCGGGACTAGAGCCTATTTTAGCATCGGATAAAATGTCTGTTCTCTACTAGTGGTTGCTCCAAGCCGTCTAGGTGGCGGCAACTACCAAGAGTAACAAGCGAATCCCGCAGCGAAACACAAACACCAAGTGCCTCTAGATGCAAACACTCAAGCAATGCACTTGGATTCACTTCCAATCTCACCAAGATGTTGAATCAATGATGGAGATTAGTGGGAGAGCTTTGACTAAGCTCACAAGGTTGCTATGTCAATGCAAATGGCTAAGAGAGTGAGCTAGAGCCGGCAGTGGGGCTTAAATAGAAGCCCCCACGAAATAGAGCCGTTGTACCCCTTCACTGGGCACTCCTCGGGGCGACCGGACGCTCCGGTCAGATCGACTGGACGCACCCTGCTAGCGTCCGATCAACGGATGGCTGCCACGTCATCCCTATCTTCAAATACTGAGCGCCCGATCCCAACGGTCAAGTGATGACCAGACGCAGCACAGTGCCACCACCAGACGTAGGCCCTCAGTGTCCGGTCACTTCCAGTAAGGTTCCAGCTACGACCAGAAGCGTCAGTTTGATCACTACCGGACGCGTCCGGTCATGCGCAACCGGACTCACCCAGCGTCCGGTCACTCACTGTCTCCTCTGTGTGATGCCACATCAGCAGGACCGGACGCACCCCATCAGCGTTCGGTCACGAAGTGACCCAGCGTCAGGTCGAAGACCGACGCCAGCGTCTTCACTGCTTCCACTGACCGGACGCGCCGGTCCAGTTGAGGCCAGCGTCCGGTCCACTCTGTGAAACCCTGTCTTCTCTGTACAGGGCGCCGGTGGCACCGTCGGACTGTCCGCACTCTACGGACGGACACTCTGCTGGTGAAGTTTCTTACCCTTCCTCAAATGTACCAACCACCAAATGTATCACCTTGTGCACATATGTGTTAGCATATTTTCACAAAATGTTTTCCAAGGGTGTTAGCACTCCACTAGATCCTAAATACATATGCAATGAGTTAGAACATCTAGTGGCACTTTAATAACCGTATTTCGATACGAGTTTCACCCCTCTTAATAGTACGGCTATCGATCCTAAATGTGATCACACTCACTGAGTGTCTCGATCATCAAAACGAAGAGAGAGAATTCTGTATTTTGGCACTGAAACAAACCACTCTTCCGTATTTGGCACTAGAAATTTTGAACTTTCTTATCTAGCATCAACTTGAAAATTCCTTCCGTATATGACACTTCCGTCCATTTGATGCAGTAACGGTGTCAAGTGCCACCTAAAATAACATATATGCCCTTCTATGTACCAGCAACATGTAGTGCCAGATAGGAAAAGAATAAATGGACATAATATCAAATAAGGAAAGCACAAATATCACAAATATACTTATGAATGAAACATAGCATTTTGATAATTGAAGAGTGGCAATAATAATCAATAAATTTGATGCACAAGCTTCACAAATCTGACCACATTGTCAGCATACTTAAAAAACAAAAAAAATGTAAACACCTTGCACACCTCATATTAGCTCAACAAATCCATACAATAGGGGTCTAAGTTCACATGTCCAGGTTCATAAATATGCATACATTACCAGGTTCATAAACATAAACACATGAAGGTTCATACATAGGGGGTCTAAGTTCACATTACAGAATAGCAGATTCATCATACACACATCAGTTGCACTACATTATAGTTCATAAAGCATATGCCTTACACATTGCCAAGCACATCTACATAGAGAATCACAAGCTCAACCTTCTCTTGCTTCTTGTGCTATTTGCAAGACTAGCAAGCTTAACTGTTTTGTTTCTGTTGCCCATTGCAGAGCTGTCAAGTGGCAGCATAGGAAATTTTTTTCAGGTTTGAAGCAAGCTGTTTCTTGGTACTCAGGTTCAGCATACTGATGGATTGAGGAGAAAAACTGCCAAGAAAGAGGCCATGAATATATACAGAAGAGTAGTTTATTACTTGGAGGACTGGATATGCAATAGGCATATAATTTCTTAGGGATTCATTCCATCAGGTGAAATGCAGATAATTTCAATCAATCATGTTTACCATTCCAAAAAAAATACATGGAGGAAGATAGAAGATTTGTACCATGCTTATCAGAAGCCGCCTACAATCCCTGAAAATATTCAGGCAACATATCCATAGGTAGAAGAGCATCTGTAAATTAAATCATCGAGTAATTGGAGCCTACATTTGTAAGACTACACAACGCAGGTACCTTTGCAGTCGAAACGCAGGTTAGCAAAATAATTGGTGCTTACCATATCTCATAGGGGCAATCCATCGAGTACATGGTGTGCAACTCTGGATTCATTCAAAGCCAAGCACGATCAGACAATTGGTGTAAGCAAATTGAGAAGCAGCTTAAAAATTTAATAACAAACAAAAAGTAGGGAGTAATGGAACACACAAAGGTAGAACAAAAATCGATCTAGAACCGTAGCTGAAGAACTTGCCTCGAAGAAGGAAATGTGTAGCAACTGGAAACAACAGGACCTCCATATCCATGCGTACCTTCTGCGTGGCTTCTAAGCAGGGGGAGGCTGAAGAGGAAGAGGAATCAAGAAAAGGTGAGGAGCGAGCGTACCTTGCTGCGTCCCCTGCGCTCGCCGACGCCTCCAACGGATTGATTCGAAGGAGGCAGGGCCTCGCCGATGCTGGGGCTTCCGCGTCAGGTGGGGGTAGGGGCGCCGGTCCGCCCTGCCCGGGGCTGTCGCGCCGGGGGCTTCCTCCAGGTCCGCGCCGGGCGCGACGCTGAGTGGAGGCAGTGAGCGATGCATGCGGGAGGCCCTAAAGGCCGGAGTCGAGCGAACAGCAGCCGACAACGTGTCACTGCCGATGGCGGCGCCGAAGGAGGGGCGATGGCGGAGGCAGGTGCGCTGCCCGAGCTGGGGCGGAGCGGCCGAGGCCCGAGTGTATATACTAGCGGGTACCCCGGCGGGCGAGGCCGCCCCGCCGCGCCCCCCGCCCCGCGAGATAGGGCTAGCTCCAGCCGGTGAGCCCGCCCCGCCGCCGCGTCCCCTGCCGGAAGCTCGGCCCGCCCCGCTGCTGCAACCCCTGCTGGACCCGCGCGTCGATCTGCCACCATGGGGAGACCTCGGCTGAGGGACCGGCGCCTCTAGCTGAAGGAAGGGCGCCGGCGGCCGCTGTCTCCTCCGCCCCATCCTCATCCCCTCCGGCTTTCATCTAGGGTTTTGTTTTTTTTCACATGAAGAGAAGACTGACGGGGGAAGAAGGGGAGCGAGCGTGCGAGTTTCGCCCGTAGCGACTGCCGAGCAGGTGGGTGCGACCAAATTAAATAGAGGGGTATTTGGTACTTATCAAGAAAAACTGACATGGTCAAGGAAGTCAACCGACGGATGGATGGCCAAAATGGACGGAAGTGCCATATACGGAAGGAATTTTCAAGTTGATGCTAGATAAGGAAGTTCAAAATTTTCAGTGCCAAATACAGAAGAGTGATTTGTTTCAGTACCAAATACAGAATTCTCTCAAACGAAAAGGCTCCTACCACTTATACCTTTGCCTTGAGCCTTTTATTTTTCTTTTACTTCTTTTCCAAGTCCAAGCACTTGATAATCACCATGGCAACACCATCATCATGTCATGATCTTCATTTGCTTCACCACTTGGAGTAGTGCTACCTATCTCATAATCACTTTGATAAACTAGGTTAACACTCAGGGTTTCATCAATTCACCAAAACCAAACTAGAACTTTCACCTAGCTCCGCCGCCGTGACTCCCCACCCAGACCTAGCCCGCTCGCCGCCCCACCGTCGCCAGGGCCCTCTAGTCATCCCCAGCGCCTGGCTGGCCTTATTCCTCCCCCAGAACCCTAATTCGCAGATCTAGGAGGAGGAGGAGGACATACCTCTCGAGATCCGCCCTGAAGCCTCCATGTCCGCCGATGTTGGATCCGCCAGATCCATGGCGCGGTGGGCGTGGGTGCGACCGCTAGGGAGGAGGTCGTCGAGAGGGGGGGGGTCTTGGGGTGTAGTGGATGCCCGTAAGTAAGCCTTTGCCACCTATGTCTATGTGTGTACCCAGCTGTCACACGAAAGATGGTAGAACTTGAAGTAGCAAGTCCTCGAGTTGAGAACACGTGCTGGTTGTCTTCGGTTTAATTCTTTAATGAGGATTGGAAATTTTGCGGCAACACGAACATATGTAACTGCACATGCATTTTGTTCACGAGAAACACACAAAGCGATTTTTTTAACCAAATTAACAAGACATCCATCTTTGGTGCATGTGTCATTGCCACTGTCAATTTGAAGTTTGCCTATTTTTAATGACTATGTTCATCTTGATGAAGAGCCGAGTAACTCCCTTCTTCTCAAAAGAAAATAAGATAGTTCCCATCATAAAAAATAATGTTTGGAAGTTGATTCTCTAAAACACGAGACCTCAGGGTTTTTTTTTTTTTGGCAACGAGACCTCAGGTGTTCCATAGACGTTTTCAGTGATTTTTTACCTCGATGAACAGTCTTCCTATAATATAGTTTGGCATATGGGCCTACAAGTTGGGCTTTAGGAGTTGGCTGGGTAAACGGGCTAAAATGTCTCTGTTCGCAACGCCCGCGCACACAGGGGCACAGGGCAGCCAAGCAAGGGCACCGCGTCAGGTAGCTCCACCAGGCTGCCAACTCGGCCCTGCAGACAAATAGGCCCACCAGACCGACTGAGAGAATTCACACGACGTCCTGCTCCAGTGCTCCCGCAGAGCCGCACGAGCCTGCACCGCATTCCCGCTCCCTTCTTCCGTACGATTCCTCTCGATTTCGAATTCAGGGCGCACTACGCCGGCACGGCATTCAGATCTCAACGGCTGCCGTTGCCGGACAGCGAGCATCCTCGACCGTCGCGTCACCTCACAACGCAGTTGCAGCGTCTTCCTTCCCCTGCAAGGAAAACGAGAATCGAATGCCTCGCACTGACGTGGCAGTCCGGACCAACCAATCATACGGCGGCCCCCAAAAGTCCACGCCACCCTCTCAAAACCTGGCAGCGTACCAGCCGTCCAGCCCGCAAACCGCAAAAGGCTTGCACAGCACGCTCCTCGATTCCCGCCTGCCCCCCGCGAGCGGCGAGCCGAGCGCACAGCCGCACACGCGCACGGCGCACGCGCCGCCGTCGCACTGACATCAAGGGCCCACGTGCCGGTTCGTGACCGTCGCAGCGCAGACGGCAGAATTTCTGCCTTCTGTGACATGCTGGACCGGACAGACTGACTGACATCTGGGCCCGCACATCGGTTTCTTGGTTCCGGCGCGGCGGGAGTTGCCGCCCACCAACCCCACCCGCGCTCCACGACGCCAAATCCGCGCGGGAAACGCCTCCGCGCCCGCGCGCCAAACCCAATCGAAACCCAAAACATTTCCTTCTCCAGCGCGCACCTGAAAAAATAAAATCCTCCACTCCAGCTCCGCTTCATTACTCCTCGCCTCTTCCACGCCGGGAAGGCGTTTAAATCCGCCCCCAAACCCTACCCGCCTTCCTCCCATCCATTCCCCCGCATCCAATCCTCTGCTCGCCTTGTTCTGCCCCGGCGGCGGCGTGGGCGCGCACACCAGGTGTTCGACGGGAGTCCTCGCCGGCGTGGAAGATGTACGTGGTCAAGCGGGACGGCCGCCAGGAGACGGTGCACTTCGACAAGATCACGGCCCGCCTCAAGAAGCTCAGCTACGGCCTCAGCCAGGACCACTGCGACCCCGTGCTCGTCGCGCAGAAGGTCTGCGTGGGGGTCTACAAGGGCGTCACCACCAGCCAGCTCGATGAGCTCGCTGCCGAGACCGCCGCGGCCATGACCGCGTCTCACCCCGACTACGCCTCGGTGAGGAACCCACCCTTGGTTTCAGCTCTCATGTCTGTCTTCGTTTGTCTTCGTTTTCCTGACGTGGGATTGGTTGCCCCTGTTCTCTGTCGTGATTCGTGAAGCTGGCGGCGAGGATTGCTGTGTCGAACCTGAACAAGAACACAAAGAAGTCCTTCTCCGAGACGTAAGAAACGGTTGTTCTTTGGTTGAATTTCATTCATTCATTCATAGCGGCAGGAGGAAGGTTGGATCCGTTGGATTGGGTTGTGAGTTGGGATGTGGATGTTGTGGATGCAGGATTAAGGACATGTACCTGCACTTCAACGAGAGATCTGGGCTGATGGCCCCTCTGGTCGCTGAAGATGTTTATGAAATCATCATGAAGGTGAGATTCTGATTGCTTCTGACACATTTCTGACAGGGCACCTGTGTAGATAGTGCTGATCTGTTTCTGGCGGTTAAATTTACTGTTCCGTTCCTTTTTTATAATGTTGTTTATTTCATACAGTAAACCTGTTGTGCCCTGCACTCGCATGATGTAAATCGTCCCTCACATATGCTGTTACATTTCAGAATGCTGCTCGCTTGGACAGCGAGATAATTTATGACAGGGATTTCGACTATGACTACTTTGGCTTCAAAACTCTGGAGAGGTCTTACCTCTTGAAGCTTGGCGGGAAGGTTGTTGAAAGGCCGCAGCACATGCTGATGAGGGTTTCAGTGGGGATACACAAGGAAGACATTGAGTCTGCCATCAGGACGTACCATCTGATGTCCCAGCGCTGGTTTACACATGCTTCACCAACGCTTTTCAATGCTGGCACACCGAGGCCCCAGGTACTGTCTTGTTTCCCGCCAGATTATGTCAGTGTGGGTTGTGAAATTGTTATTTACTGTTTCCTTTTTCTGTGATGCAGTTAAGCAGCTGTTTTCTTATATGCATGAAAGATGACAGCATTGAGGGAATCTATGAGACCCTGAAGGAGTGTGCTGTAATAAGCAAATCTGCTGGAGGAATTGGTGTCTCAGTTCATAACATTCGTGCTACTGGGAGTTATATTCGAGGAACAAATGGAACATCAAATGGAATTGTTCCTATGTTACGTGTCTTTAATGATACTGCTCGCTATGTTGATCAGGGTGGTGGCAAAAGAAAGGGTATGCTTTTTCATTGTTTTCACTTTTATTAGTTCCATCGTCTTCAGAAATTCTTACGAGCTTCTAAAACTTAGGTGCATTTGCTGTATACTTGGAACCTTGGCATGCTGATATTTTTGAGTTCCTTGATCTGAGGAAGAACCATGGGACGGTAAAATCTCGACCATTAGTCTTTAATTACTTCCACATATAAAAACATAAAATATCTGTCTTTTGAACTCCAGCACTAAGATGACTTTATATATGCTTACTGTTGTCTTGATTCCTGCACCTAAAATTGATTCCTTACCTGTGCCGAGTGTCTTCCATATATATGGTTGTTCAAGCTAATGTCTTATAGAGACAGTTACTCTAGTTTATTTCTGCATGATATCTAAACTTCTTGATATTTTAGTCTGCATGCTGCTATCATGGAATAAGTACACCATGCTTTGCCTGCTTTCTGTGTCTAACATAGTATCATCCACTCAACTTATGAGTGGCTAGCATGGAAAAGATCCACTCAGCTTATGTTAACATAGTATCATCCGCTCACCTGCTATGAACAATATTTTCACAGGAGGAAAATCGTGCAAGGGATCTTTTCTATGCACTATGGGTTCCTGATCTATTCATGCAAAGAGTCCAGAATAATGGAGAATGGTCATTATTTTGCCCTAATGAAGCTCCAGGGTTGGCTGATTGCTGGGGTGAGGAGTTTGATAATTTGTACAAGAAATATGAGAGCCAAGTAAGCTGAAAAGTCAAAGCTGTATTTGTATGTACGCTATATTGAAATGGGAACGTGCTTTAGTAACCTTGCTTTCTGGTTTCAGGGCAAGGCAAAGAAAGTTGTTCCAGCACAGACCCTCTGGTTTGACATTTTGAAGGCACAAATAGAGACTGGTACACCATATATGCTTTACAAGGTACATTTGGTAGCTATCAAATAGGAATACCTTCTAGATTTGTCTCTTTTTTCCAAAATTGTCCACGGTTAACTATCAGACTCTAAGGATTTGTTGTAATGGCTATTAACTGTATGCAGGATACTTGCAATAGGAAAAGTAATCAACAGAATCTGGGCACAATTAAATCATCAAACTTGTGCACTGAGATAATTGAGTTTACAAGCCCTAATGAAACTGCTGTCTGCAACCTAGCATCTATTGCTTTACCTCGTTTTGTTCGGGAAAAGGTATATCTCGTCAGTCCTAAAGCTCTAGTCAATCATGAAGGTTTGATTCTGATGCACCATATAATAAACTTGTTTTACAGGGTGTTCCTTTAGAGTCCCATCCATCTAAGCTTGTGGGTAGCAGTGATTCAAAAAATAGATATTTTGATTTTGAGAAGCTAGCTGAGGTTTGTTCAGATCCTATTTGTCTTGGATCCTCTATTCTGACCTATGTTGACGAATGTTCTAATACATTATTGATTTTGGCAGGTTACCTCAACTGTTACTTACAATCTTAACAAAATTATCGATATTAATTATTATCCTGTTGAGACAGCAAAGAGATCAAATATGCGGCACCGGCCAATTGGCATAGGTGTTCAAGGCCTGGCAGATACTTTCATATTACTGGGCATGCCATTTGATTCACCAGAGGTACTTTTCGATTTCTCCTTAACTCAGCATTAGCCACCTGTTCCCTTATGTAATTAGCTGATATATGTAACAAATGGTATATCTTTTTCAGGCTCAGCAGTTGAATAAGGATATATTTGAAACTATCTACTATCATTCTCTGAAAGCTTCTGCTGAACTTGCTGCTAAAGAAGGTCCCTATGAAACATATGAAGGGAGCCCTGTCAGCAAGGTTTTCCTCAACAAGCTTTCCCCTTTTCAATTACTTATATGCCTAGTGTTTAGTGACATTTATATTCATGATGAAGAATTCTGTTTTTTTTAATTAACAAGTATGCATCGACCTTATGCTCTCTACCTGCTTTGTAGGGCATTCTCCAACCTGACATGTGGAATGTAGTGCCATCTAACAGATGGAACTGGTCATCTCTAAGGGAGACCATTTCTAAAGTTGGGATAAGAAATTCTCTTCTTGTTGCTCCAATGCCCACTGCTTCCACTAGTCAGATTCTTGGCAACAATGAGTGTTTTGAACCCTACACGTCTAATATATACAGTCGACGGGTTCTAAGGTCTGTAACAACACTCCTTACTTTAGAGTGTTTACATTCTGACCTACATGTGCATATATGATTAATCTTTCTAAATTTCTTCCAGTGGGGAATTTGTTGTGGTTAACAAGCATCTTCTTCATGATCTGACTGAAATGGGTATTTGGACTCCTACTCTGAAAAACCAGATAATATACGATGACGGTTCTGTCCAAAAGATAGCAGAAATCCCAGATGATCTTAAAGCAATCTACAAGTATGTATTTCTACCAGATGCCATTATTTTCTACAAGACTCAAATTACTATTTGAACATCTAAAAGTTTATATACAATCATTGCACCAGGACTGTTTGGGAGATCAAGCAGAAAACTTTAGTTGATATGGCGGTTGACCGTGGATGCTATATTGACCAGAGCCAGAGCCTCAATGTCCACATGGAGCAAGCAAACTTTGGGAAGCTAACATCACTTCACTTCCATGCTTGGTCCAAGGTATTGAACCTCCAGCCATCACAGCAATTGTCTTATCTTTATGGAGTTTGTACTTAACCTATTAAACTAGTGATTTGTTTTTTTTTTCTAATCTTGTTCAATGCCAGGGCCTGAAAACTGGAATGTACTATCTACGCACACGAGCTGCTGCTGATGCGATCAAGTTTACAGTTGATACCACACTTCTAAAGGAGAATGGGAATGTGGTATATTTTCTTTCCTTTAGTCCTACAATCTTTTTCCTCAAAGGTTACTAAAATACTATTCACCTTGAAAACCACTTGCATATGCAGGTGAGTAATGGAAAGCCCACAGAGGAAGACGTGGAAGCTAAAATGGCACAAATGGTCTGTTCTTTGAACAACCGGGAAGAGTGCCTGGCGTGTGGAAGCTAGATTGGAGCTCCATCTAGACACTGCACTTGTTTGTGACCACAACATTATACACAACCGGCTGATTATTGGAGCTCAATAACCATAACGAAGTCTGTGATGTAGGTTGAATTAAAAATTCCCATAATGGGAAATATCTTGTTCCCTGGATACAGCTACGGATCTCTGGTTTGTATTGCTCTACTGAGATATTTGTGCTGCTGGCCTGCTGCCAATGTATATATCTACTATCAACGGCATTGCCCTATTGGTGTGTGCAATTGCATTTTTGTGTGAACTGTGTAATACCCTTTGCATATGGTCGAGTTTACCATCACAAACAATTGGCTCGAACAGGAAGTAATTCATCGTTTTCCATGGTGAGAGACCATGCTTGTTATAAAAAAAAACTGAATTCTAAAAGAAAAATATTAATACGAGTGAGAAAACTTAGAAAATAGATACGAGCGCAAAAAAAAAAAAGGCCTGTAGACTAGTATACTCATCGTGAATTGTCACACGGTACTGATAGGTTACGTTCCTGGATGACTAGTATACTGGATGGCAATGCATTTCCTAGATGGCTAGTATACTATATTGCAATGCCAATACATAGAAGGTTTGTTTGGCTGCACTGCACACTAGTATCCAAATCCACATGAGTTTGGAGAAATTGAGGTAGATTGGTGCAATGGTGCAACCAAACAAGCCTTGATAGATGTGGATGCAATCAATACTCGTTTGACTAAGCACAAACTAAAGGTCTGTTTGGATAAACATAGCTAATTGTTAGGCAGCTAATTTATACTACTATTGTAGATTGTTCGCATTGTTGGTTTCAACAAGCCTTTAGATGTGGATGCAATCAATACTCGTTTCTTCTTAAAGCACAAACTAAAGGTCTGTTTGGTTTATCATAGCTAATTGAAACCAACTAAGCAAACATACTATTGTTATCTGTTCATCCAAGAAAGTTAGAAGATTGTGTTTGACAGCTTATGGTACATCATTTGGCAATACATATTTGTGATTGATGAGTTTAGTTATTCTTGAACACACAGTAGAGCAGCATCAACGCTAATCCAAAAAATTTAGTTGCACTGTTTGTCGGGGAAAGTTAAAAAGTAACTCAAGTCTCAACTTTAATCACCATCTGTTGCAAGTTATAACCATGCAGACAAAATAACTTTTGTGAAAGGAAAAAGGGTTTGGTTTGATACATTGTAGGAATCTTAAACAGCAACACTTGTAATGTTGCTTCCGCCTCCTGTTGAACTGGGCTCCAGCTTGAAATCGTCCTTGATCTTCTTCAACTTGGCAACAACATCAGTCATAGTTATCCTTTCGTCAGGTAATTCACTTGTGCATAGCATACCCAACTCAAACACTGATGTGAGAGTGCTATGCGAGATGCTTGGAGAAACTTCCGAAGGGTTGCTGGTGTGGTGAAAACCATGTACTATTTCATCATCTTTTTGTACATTACCGTCCAAAATATGGTTAATTCTTGATGGGAATGCTTGATGGACCCAGCGCCTAAGGCTGAGTTCTCCGACAAACATGGTGTCGATGGGCTTCTTCCCAGTGAATACCTCAAGCAGCATGATTCCAAAACTAAACACATCGCTCTTCCTTGATGCTTTACCCATGGAGCCATACTCTGTTCAAGAATGTTTTAAACAAAGATCAGCACAATGTGAAATAGGTTTACATGGTACTAAAGAAATTAATTCAGTCATGATTGGTTGACTACCTGGTGCCATATATCCGATTGTTCCTGGCATGCTTGCAGAAATCACTGAGTTATTATCACCTAACAAAAGTCTAGCTATGCCAAAATCTGCCACATGTGCTGTCATATTGTCATCAAGTAACACATTGCTAGGTTTCAGGTCACAGTGCAAGATTACTTCATGGTGTCGATAATGCAGATGTTCTACTGCCATCGACACCTCTATCATGATGTCCAATCTCTTGAGGAATTTTAAGGGTGGCTTGTCTTCATTGTGAAGATGTGTATCCAAACTACCATTAGGCATGTATTGGAGTAACAATGCTTTAAAGTCCAGGCTTGAACAAATGTTGATTATCCTTATCAAGTTGCGATGCCGAACCATGCGCAGTACTTGGCACTCAGCATCAAAGCTCTTTGTAACTTCTTCCAATTGTACGTTTAGAACTTTGATGGCAACCACCAAACCATCGTTTAGTTGTCCCTTGAAAACTTTTCCAAAACAACCCATTCCCAACAAATTTTCCTCACTAAAATTGTTAGTCGCATGGACAATCTCGTGATAAGATATTAACTTGTGGCTGATTGCATCAGTAATATTATTGGAACCTGTCAAAGCTCCTGGGTTGTTTCTTTTTCTTCTGATGATTAGATACAAGCAAATAGCTATTGCTCCAAATGCTGCAAGGGCACCAGGGAGTACAAATTTGAGGATCTGTCCATTTGTTGAGTAAGATCTGACGGTACATGATGAAAACCCTAGGCGTGGAGCACCACAAAGCCCATTGTTTCCTAGCAAGGACTGCAAACTGATGTTTGAGAAAATGCCTCCTTCTGGTATACGTCCATGTAGCTTATTGAAGGAGAGGTTCAGATTGGTGAGATATGTAAAATTGGCCAGGTACAGTGTGTAGAATAGCAGAGATAGAAGGGAAACACCACACCCAATGTGAGGGGGGTGACCTTGATATATATAGCCAATTACATGGCAGCATATATGCAATGCATGGCAGGTGCTAATCATACTAAATATAGACTTGCCTAATATACACTTTCCTAATGTATATATCTATCAGCCGCCCTCAGTCGAAGCATCAGGATTCCGGATGCACAGACTGGACCGAAAATCCTCAAAGAGCTGAACCGGCAGCCCCTTTGTCATGAGATCAGCAAACTGATACTTGGACGGCACATGGAGAACGCGAACCTCGCCGAGAGCCACCTTCTCACGGACGAAATGGATGTCGATCTCAATGTGCTTGGTACGGCGGTGGTGGACCGGGTTGGCTGTCATATAGACAGCGCTGACGTTGTCACAGTAGACAACTGTGGCGACCTTCAATGGAACATGAAGTTCCTGAAGAAGCTGTCGAAGCCAACAGCACTCTGCGACCACATGAGCAACAGCCCGGTACTCGGCCTCTGCACTGGACCGGGACACCGTGGTTTGCCGTTTGGACGACCAGGACACCAAGCTGTCGCCGAGGAAGACGCAGAAGCCGGAGGTGGAGCGGCGAGAGTCGGGGCACCCTGCCCAGTCAGCGTCGGAGTAGGCAATCAACTTGTCGATAGGCCCAGTGCTGATGTGGAGGCCAGCTGACAGTGTGCCCTTCACATACCGAAGGATGCGCTTGATCAGCGCAAGGTGAGCTTCGCGCGGATCATGCATAAAGAGGCACACCTGCTGCACAGCGTACGCCAGGTCGGGGCGAGTGAGTGTCAAGTACTGAAGTGAGCCGGCGAGACTCCGGTACGTGGCGGGGTCGGCGACGGGAGCGCCCTCCGTGGCAGAGAGCTTGGCACGAGAGTCGACAGGCGTCGATGTCGAGTGACATTCGGCCATGCCTGCCTTCTGAAGAAGATCCACCGCGTACTGCCTTTGGCTGAGGAAGAGCCCGTCGGAGGAGCGAGTGACGGAGATCCCCAGGAAGTGATGGAGCTCCCCAAGATCCGTCATGGCAAACTCAGAGTGAAGGCGACCGATGATGCGGCGGAGCAGAGCTTCCGAGGAAGCCGTGAGGACGATGTCGTCGACGTACAGCAGCAAGTAGGCACTGGCGCCGCCCTCAGTGTAGACGAAGAGGGAGGTGTCGGTGGCAGAGGCAACGAAGCCGAGCTGTCGAACGTACGTGGCGAAGCGCTGGTGCCACGCCCGCGGGGCCTGCTTGAGGCCGTAAAGGGAGCGCTGAAGAAGACAGACGGCGTCGGGACGCGCCGGGTCGACGAAGCCGGGGGGCTGCTGACAGTAGACCGTCTCGTGCAGGTGACCGTGAAGAAAGGCATTCTTCACGTCCAGCTGGTGGATGGGCCACTGACGAGAAGCGGCGATGCTGAGGACGATCCGAATGGTGGCAGGCTTGACGACGGGGCTGAACGTTTCGTCGTAGTCGATGCCGTGGCGCTGGGTGAAGCCACGAACGACCCAGCGAGCCTTGTGACGAGCCAGGGTGCCATCGGAGTGGAACTTGTGCCGGAAGATCCACTTGCCTGTCACCACGTTGGCACCTGGGGGCCGGGAAACGAGTCGCCACGTGTCGTTGTCGACGAGAGCCTTGTACTCCTCAGCCATGGCCGCGCGCCACTGGGGGTCGGCAAGGGCCCCTCGGTAGTCGCGGGGAATGGGTGAGGCAGTGGATGCGGCGGCGACGTGAGCAGACGATGGGAAGCCGTAACGATCAACAGGCTTCAGCGAGCCTGTCTGGAGGCGCGTCACAGGTCGGCTCGAAGTAGGAGGTGGCGGACCGGCTGCCACAACTGGAGCAGGAGCCGGCTGTTCTGGAACAGCGGGCGCCGACGGGGGCACCTCCACGACTGGTGCGGACAGAACAGCGGGCGCCGGCGGGGGCACCTCCACGACTGGTGCGGACAGTGGTGCAGGAGGCGGCTCAGCAGCCGGGGCGGGAGCACCAGCACGCCGCCGAACGTAGACCCGTAGAGGTGGACCGGTTGGAGCAGGAGCAGCCGGGCCAGGAGGAAGGACCGGGCCAATCTGTAGGATGGCGGGGTCCTCAGCGAGCTCCTCCAGTTGAGCTCGGCGTCGCGGCTGCTCAGCGGCGACTGGCGACGGGGCGACCGCAGGGGGCACCATGGTGGCAGTGTGGTGCACCGGCGCAGCAGGACCTGGAAGAAGAAAATCCAGAGAGCTTGTGGGCTCACTGGTGGGGTCAGTGCTGAACGGAAAATGATTCTCGTCGAAGACAACATGACGGGAGATGATAATCCGTCTAGTTGTGAGGTCGAGACACCGATAACCCTTGTGAGAGGAGGGGTATCCAAGAAAGACACAGGCTGT